TTTGAGTCCAAAAGCCTTACTCAAATCACACTAATATATTTCATTGATATCATTACTTGGCATGCCTTAGAATGGCAGTTCCTCAAACTAAGAATGTTAATTCCACTTGTAAAAATAAATTAAGGGGTATCAAATAAATAAGGACATACCGAGAATTCATTCCATACTAACTGGCGGTTCATGTACTCAAAGCTAACTGCTCGGTTCATATTAGGGCTCCCATAGACCAGCCTAGCTTTTAAAGCTCTTTCAATTAGATTCCTATACCTGCATCGCAACATGTGATTTGAAAAGATGTTGAGTTTTACAAGCTTGTCAAGGGAAATATTATTCCTAGATCACCTTAAGAATATCACATCGAAAAATTCCCATATTATCATATTACAAAAGCAGCTCTATCAACACGTCAATCCATATAAAACGAAGGTAAAAAAAATAGGAGACAAAATGTCAAAAGGTTGTGCAGTATCAAACAAAACTTTGATTTCCATTAAAAAAAAATTGCATACTATGCTGCAAATTCGGTTATATTTTTAAAATATCCAGGAACAGAAGCTACCAACTCTAGTTGCAGAGCACTAATGCTCTCTGGGTCTCAGAAAAAATGGCTACAAGTAGTATGCATACATCAATAGACTGGATACAATCTTAAAAGTAAATGCCAAAGAACATACCTTCCAGTGTAAAGAAATAAAAGAAGGTTGCCAAATGAGGCAGCTTTGTAAAGTCCTTCTATACGCTGTATCAGAATCCATGCTCCTCGTGCCACTGATCTCTGAAGAAAATGGAAAAGAACATCATCAGACGACTTCAATAATCCGCCATATGTTTTATTGAGGGCAGAAAAACACAGAGACAAAACAGTACCTGTTCAGAATCACCCCACCTACGGAAGGCAGAGAACGATTGCAAACGAGCCCAGATGTATTGACCACCAACAGTGGCAACACAATACCAAAGCTTCTGTGCAACTGTAAGTCCAGGTCCTTCCAAACCCGTTCTGACTGAAAATAAATTGAAGAAGAAAGCAGAAGCATAAAATGTAAGAATACATGTAATCAGGATGCACTATTAACAAGCTGAATGAAAAAATGCAATTGCAAATTTCTGTTTGAACAAATATAACTGTTCACAGCTCAATTTGTAATTGGACAATTTAGGAACAGCCTGGTTACTACATCAGTCAGAC